TTTTTTTTTTTTTTTTTGATTCATATTACATGCAATACTTAATCTATAAGAATCGTCTTCCCATCTTTACAAAAAATTTTTTTGTGCAAAATTATAAATTATTCTATTATACAGAGTGTTTATTAAATATGATAGAAAATATAATTTTTATTAACAATAATATGAAAAATTTTATTATTCTATAAATTTTTTTGTAAAATTTTAAATTTAAAAAATATTTATTTATAATTATAAATAATAAGTATTTTTTTTTATTCTGAAAAGACAATCATGTGAATCATTATCATTAATATATTTTCAATCATTTTAATATGAGGTTTTTTTATTTTAATGTAATTAGTTAAGATTCATTTTTGAAATATTTTTTAATAAAACAAATCGCTTACTTATCATTTTTAATGGAACATTCTGTAACCATACATATTTTATGCATAAAATATATTTGTAAAATTGAATTTTTTGAAATATTAAGTTACTATATTTTTCATTCACAAAATATTCATTTGTTTGTCATTTAATATTATATTTTTAAATTCAGATGGCGCTGAGATACAATTTTTCATAATAATTTAAAAAATTTGAAAATATATTTAAAAGTTTACAGATAAAAAAACTTCTGTACTGTTATTTACAATTATATATAAAGATTTTTTTCTTTGAGGACAAGTTTTTTTTTTTAAAAAGAGATTTTTATAAATAAGTTATTCAAATAATTAACAAAATTAAAGTATCTCTAATTATAAATATTGATAATACATTGATAATTCATATTCTTTTTAATTTTTAAATTAATCAATGTATAAATGAAACTTTTGAAAATATTATTTTAGTATCATCATTATTAATATCGTCATAATTTTAAAAAGAAAAAAAATAGTATATTATGTTAAAAAATATAAAAAATTTTATAGTGAAATATGCATCATTCGAATTAAAATAAAATTTTTAACATTCAAGAAATATTTTTGTTGGAAAAATTATTATTAATACAATAATGAATAGTGAATACTATAAAAAGAAAAACATTGAAATATTTGTGCCTTCTATGAAATGTAATAATTTAATTTTTTCATAATTTGTGATGCGAAAACAACAAAAAAAATTAAATAAATAAAAATTGCATAGAAATAGCGAATGGTTAACAACAATCTGATTAAAATTATTAACTAATAAAAAACTTTCACGAAATATTTATCAAATTTTTGATATATTTTTAATTGATTAAAAAATAGTACAAAAAATCAATGTATTTTTTTCTATTTAAAAAAACTTATGATAAATGGATCAGTGCTTTCAACTTTTGCGTTTGATTTAAATTGAAAATTCTATATTATTTGATTTCAGAGAATTTAATTAATCAAACAATAAGATCGAAAAATATAATTATATTAACATACATATGTATATTTTTTACATCTTTTATGCGTGTATTTTATATTTATTACATATTACAATTAAATTAAAAGAAAATCGGTTGAAAATCGGTAAAATTGTTGGAATGGAAACAAAATTTAGTCAGTATTTTTATTGAAAAAAAATATATGAAAAAAAGATACAATTAAATTATCTTCACTTTTAATCGGTGCTATGTTTTTCATTATTGGTACAGAATATAAATTATCATTAATAATTATACATATGAGAATTAAAAATTAATTTTATGTTCAAAAATTCAGCACCAATTAAAAGGGAACATACAAAGTACATAATATTGTAAATATAAATATACAGAATAATATTTTTCTGTAACGTATATATTATGTGTGAAAGATAGAAAATAAGAGAAAAAAAAACAGATTATTGAAACGTGGATGAAATAAACTACTTAATATGAGAAAAAGAGAAAAAAACATATGCGCGGAAAAGAGAATATTTGCAAGCATATAATATTTTTTGAATGGAAATGGACAAAATAGATTTATAAAGATGTTATATTTATATTGTAACTTGTTAAAAAAAATGACTGATCTATGTTTGATAAAAAACAAAAAAATATTTGAACATTTATAAGTTAATTATCAATGGATAAATTTTGTTTCATATTCATTTAATTATATATATATATATATATATAAATAACAAAAATTTCAGTTTAAGTGCAGTTTGAATTGATTCTTTATTAGAAGTTTGATAAGATAATAATAATAGTCTTCCGTTCGCAAAGATATAGCATAAAAATTTGCCAATCATGACAATATACAAACGAAATAATAAAATCCATTAATATACATTTATTAATCAAGGAGCTTATAAATACAATAGATTATAACAATAATTAACCCATATGTGCGTATTAAGACTAAAAAGATCATATTCTAGAAATAATAATAAATACTATTCGCGCATATAATGTAATATGTAATCTTAATACATTATCAAATGCAGCGGAAAATTATTATATATAACATGTAAAAATATTATTGAATCTGAATCTACCATCCGAACTGAACGATGAACTGACTTGCATCTATTTTATTGAAAACATTCTGTAATAATTTTTTATTTAAATAATAAATAAATATTGTTTTTACTATAAACTGAAAAATTATTGAAAAATATTATAAATATATTTTGTTATCAATATTCCATTATCAAGTCAGTTGATCAAAAAAAGACAAATTGCGAAAATATAATCACAAAAAAATCATATTCCCAATATACAGAAGAATAGCTATTTAAATGTAATTAGATGATAGTTTTATACATACAACATGTTCATTACAAAATAAACAAATTTTTATAAAATATTGTGTTTTATTTTACTCTTTATGAAATAATTTTTCATTATATTCATTTCATATATATAAAAAATAATTTATTGAAAATTAATATAAAAATTTTTAATTTCAATATCAATAATAAGTTTTTAATTTCAATATTTCTGATTTTATTAAACATTATTTATAACATTATTTCAAATATTTCAAATTTTCAAAAAACGTTTTTGATTATTTTACTTTTTATTTTTATGTTTTTATTATTTTATTTTACTTTTTATGTTTTTGTTATTTTATTTTTTACTTAAATAAAAATAATTTTAAACGTCCCTCGTAATTTATTAACAACATAACATTATATTAACTAGAAATATTTAAATTTTATACTAGGGAGTTTTTGTAGTTTCAATAACAATTGGTTATACATCGATCTTGTGATCTAACTATTGAGAGAGGTGCAATTTGCAATAGGAAATCTAATTTTTTGCAACTGAAGTTTTAACTGAAATATATTGATTTTAAGGAACAATAAAAAATGGTTGACCGTGTAAATATTAAAGAAATGATACCGGCTTTGCCAGATGAAAAAATTGGTAATTATTTTCAAATATATATATTTATTAATTTGATATTGCCCCTCCCATTAATGTGATATGTTTATATGATTTATAATATTGTTTTTATTTTTATTTCGATTTTATTTATTTATTAAAAATGATAAATAAATAAAATAATTGAAAAAATATTAAATTTTATATTGTACATATAATTTCAAATAAATAATTATATTTTTTATGTTATAACAAGAATTCTTTTTATAATAATTTAAATTATATATTATCAATATTTTTTTTATAACAAATTATTTTTTTATAATTATATATTTATGTTTTATATTTTTAAGTATTTATTATTATAAACACAAAATTAAAATTAATAAACAATTATATAAATGTTTGCATTAAATTTTTATTTTTTTATTGATGTCTTATTAAAGCTTTAATATTAAATAATATTTGAAATATTATAGATATGCTAGCAGCTACAAGTATTCTACAACAACAAGCTGCTGACATTAGGAATCAACAAATTAAATGGCAATCATATCTACAGTAAGAGAATGTCATTATAAGTAATATCATAATTAATGTATTGTATTTATTATAATACAATATTATTATTATTAACA